ACCTCTATGACACAGGGTTGATGATTTTTCTTTTCTCTTGCCATTCACCTGTACCGTCTCTTTAAATCACCACCTTTCATTGAGTAGGTGCAGTCACCTCCTGTGTGTTCATATAGTGTCCAGTAACACAGGTCCCTGCTCCCCCCTGCAGCTTCTAAACATTATTATAACATAATGCAAATAAATAATCTGAAGATGTTGCTGATGGAAAAACCCTCTGAAACTAAACCTGCTTAGCTCCTCAGACGTACAACACAAATTACTGTTACTGTGTACTATCCCGTTTAACTGCATGCATCGGCTGCTCTTGAACAATTATTGTTTGTGCTGTGAATTTGTAATAATAACAACAACAACTACTACTACTTGCCTAATCCTTAGCATCAGAACGAACGTGAATGCTCAGCATTTTCATTCCAGTTTCCAGGCTGAAAGTCTCCGTGTACATTGCTTGGCTATCAGTTGACAGTGTTGCTTTATATAACCAGAGGCGATAGAGCCCTGTACTCCTCTGGGGTCTGCCCATGGCCCAGGAGCACCACTTCAGCCCGGCCCAGGGCCATAAGTCCCTGCCCCAGTGACGTGGTAAGATGCTGGTCTCCAGCCCTGCCCTGCTGGGCCTGACCCATGGGCTGACGTTCCGGCTTGGCTTTGGACCTGCCTTATCCTTATGAACTTGCCTGATGATCTGGACTCTTGGCTGAATGTGGTAGCCTCCTCCAGGCCTGCCCTGCGCACCTCGCTCATGGGCTGTGGGACAGGGCCCTGGATAGTGAAGTCCCTGCTCTGCCAGCCATGTTATTGCACTCAGGTCCCCACCCCTTCAGGAGCTGCCAGCCTTCGTTGCTCCCTGACAAACAACCTAATATTCAGAAGTTGGGAACTGTAGCTGCAATGAGAAGGGAGACAAAAATGCAAAATCAAGAGTGACTCAATGAGGAATTCAATGCAAATATTAACTTTGTTTCCCCCAGCTACTAACATGCACCTAGGTTTCAACTACAGGTCCCCACAGTCTTGGATAAAATCTTTTAAATGGTTGAAATCATCCAGTTTGACTTTTGTTCTTTCCTTTGTGGTGCAATCTGAAGTATTTCACATATTGCCTTACATAGAGCAAAGCACAAGCCCTCTGCCATCGCTGGCATCCTGTGCTCATTTTCTCTCCCCGTTTTTTCTTGTACCCCACACTGAAGTCAGACCAGAATCAGTCAGCTCCTTGGTATATGCAAGTGTCTCAGGCAGAAGTGAGATAAAACTCTTTCAATCAAAATGCCTCCTGGAATAAGGCTACAAAGCTCCAGCACCTATCCAGGAGACGATTTATTGTTGTAGATGGAGGAAGGACAATGCAAATCTCTTTACATTCTCAAATACCCTCCACCTTTCTCAAGGACCTGAAAAAATACTGTCTCTAGTTTTTAAAAGGCCATTTTATACTTCCTTTAAAAAGGATAGTCTTGGCTAATGTACTCAGAATGGGATAATAATGACAACTTGACGTGGGCAAAAGCACTATATGCAATCCAAAATGACAAGTTGTCGAAAAGTATAATGGACAGCCAGGGGAGGTGTACCTGATGTGGAGACAAGACCATTACGTGTCTTGAAGTTTAAACTGGGCAGCCCTGCTGTGAAACATGCTTGAAAGCCCCATTGTCTACTGGGTTGCTAAGGAGCCTTTGAAAGTGCATGAGGGTAAATTAAGGAAAGGTGTTAATTTAAACTAGAATTCCTGAATAGCAACACAAGTAGGCAGACCCTCAGATATGACCATCATCTCTAATACATCCATTAGTTCTCTCTTGCACTGCTGTTCTTTTGTTCTTGTCCCCATGGGATGTCACAGCACTGTTTACAGTGCCCAGTGCTGCCATTTTTGTGACTGGGACCTGGAGGAGCTGGCTGAAGCTCTCTGCCAGGTTTAACCAGCTGTGGTTCATGTACCAGGTAATTACTGAAGGTTGTACCTGATTCTTGGTTTTCTAATCTATGTTGGATGGTGGCATTATTTTCCTTTTAACCCTTTTCACTTCACCTCTTTCTTAATCTAAGAACACATGTAAGACCACTTCGTCAGCTTTAGACAGTGATCCTTGAAGGTGCACACTTATTTCTGTCATGAATAGTAAGCGTGGATGACTACAATTAAACACAAATACATGAATCCCTTTGAAGGGAGTGCTAGGGATGTGAAGAATCTCAGGAAATCAGGCCTTGCAACGTGCTGTTTAAATGTGACTGAAGGTGTTGTCTAGCTTTAGGCATACGTATGGGAAAAATGTGTGTTTCTGCTATGTCCTAAAAGTAGCATAAGTGGTTAAAAGAAGAATTCAAAACAGGTCCTAAAGCTCTAGTTCCAGCTGCTCTAATCAGTAGTAAGAATCTCCCTTCTCCTCTGTATTTGCAAGTCATTTAAATTTTAAGGCTTTTACAGGGTAAGACTCAGACTATGGTGCCTGTTGGCAGCAGGGCTATCTGCAGGGTTGTACTTAAGCACCTGAAACAGAACAGTTCAGTTTCTTGACTGGTATCTGCCTGAGCTGTTGATGAAACACCTTAACACAGGCCAAAGCAAACCAAGCCTTGTAAAGACTTTATGTGACTGTTTAACAGCTTATATTAATGTTAGGACATTTGTATGCAGACTGATCCCTTCTATTTGGAGTTACAATAAGTCACCTAGAATAGAATGGGGTAGAAAAAGGAACTTTCAAAGCATCACTGAAATACTGATGAGGTGGAGTCACCATGTGGAACGACTTCTTTCCCTGAAGGGGAAGAAAGGGGAGAACAGAGCAACGACATTCGTAATGTAGCTCTCGCAGTTACGTTTCAAGTTAGGCAGAGTGAATCCAGGTCTTAATGTGCAAGTGACATTTACCGTCTCTCCTACAGCAAAACTCCTTTAAATAACAAATGCACATTTGGACTGGCTTTGATCTCTTAAAGCAAGAAGATGAGTTTAAAGAGAAGCTTTTAGCTTTAAATTTTTTTCCTCTTCTATCTCTAAAATTTAGAAGTAGAATCCTGGTCTTAATTTATAGCTTCTCCACCCCCGACCCCGCCCCGGCTGATTATTTTAGAAACGTTTACAGGACAAAACATCTAAGCTTGTGGCTGCCTGTCACCTTTCCCAAATCCTACGTATTTATAGATGTCTGTCCCTGGAATGTGGATCTGGTTTAAGTCTCTTAATTTATTTTAGTGAACTCTGGGCACAGCAGACATTGGAGTTAATTTAGCAAGTAAGCATGTGTACAAGTGTGGGAAGAGCTTGTGTGCTGCTTTTCTTTCCCAATTACATCAGTCGCTCTAATATCAGCTATTCCCTCTTCTTTCAAGTGTCCTTAAAGTCACCATCACCAGAGGAGGACACATACCCAAAAGTGACAATCTCAGGGTATTTCTGACAGTTTAGCAGGAGCCCTGGGGGATTCAGTAGGAGGTTTGGTTTACAAGTTAGAGCCTGAATGATGGTGCTTAGCCCCTTACAGAGGGAGCTTTTCATTGCATCACAGTCTCTAAGATGATGATGTGGGCTCAATCTGTCCTCTGAGCAGTATCTGGACCCTGAGATGGTAGGGTGGAGGAGGAGGCATCTTTGCCCACCTGAACAAACTGCTCCTGCTGAGTCAGATAGTTAAATGCACCTAACAGGGAAGTTGGAGTTGGTGGGTTGGAGGGCCTGGGGGTGGGTGGTTGGGATGCTGGCCTCACCTCTGTGCCATGTGCGTGGAATTGCCTAGCCCACCCATGGAATGACTCGCCCAGATGAAATTACTGTGCTGGAGTCCCTGCCATGCTGCATGCCCAGGCTTAAGCTGTGGCTTTGCCCTTTCAAAATGAAAGTGCATACCGTTAGGGCAAAGCAGTTCTGGGTCTCCTTTGGCACTGGCTGGGGGAAAAGTTTTACGTCTGACACTGTCAGGCTGGCACTTAGCTATGCAGGACGTGGACTCACTTTCTTTTTGGGCTGCCTGCCTCCACCACAAATCTTCCTGCACACTGTGTAACAAGTCATTCACAAGGCTGCAGCACTATGGTCTTGTCCTTCCACTCCTGACAAAGGGAGGTGAGCCCTTCTCTCGGACGGGATGGTTCCCATGCGGCTGAAAACAGTATCGGGAAGTGCTGGGGCATGCTGGGCTTTGCTGATGTAACGGGCTCCCTGCAATTTTCATTCAGATCTGGTTGGCTGTGAGCTGGCAGAGCGCCTCAGATACGCCTCCAACTCAGATGAGGTCATCCCTGCTTTTTTTTTTT